GGTATCAAAGGCTGGTCCATGCTGAGTCCTGATGAGGAAGAGAGGAGGCTGCAACCTAAGCCCGCACCCCAGAGATACCCCTCAAGTGCCTGCTGGAAAAGGGGGAGCCCAAACTAAGGGGTTAAACAATCACAAGTCAGAAGGAATGGTTTGGGCACGCATCAGCACAGCCTTCTAAAATTTTTTTTTTTTGGTACCGGGATAGAACTCGGGTCCTTGTGCTTTCGCAGCAGGTGGTGAAACCACTGAGCTAAATCCCCGGCCCCTAAAATATTTAAAGGACAGAAACATGCAACCAATGAACAATAAGCCAAAAACTGTCTCAAGATTTCAATTACTACCTCTGTGCTGACACTCCAAAATCTCTCTCTAGCTTCATCTCCCCTGAGCAATCCACATATCCAAGAGCCGCCTGACCTTTCCAACCCTATCCCTCCCTCTGTGTTCTCATTTTCTGGTACCTCTGCCACACAGACCTGCAAACCCAAAGCCTCACTGCCCTCCTGGGGACCTCCTCTTTCCTTCCTCCTCTCTTAATTAGGTACCAAGTTTTCTTAACTCTACTTCCCAAAAGCTTCTCAAACCAACCTTTACCAGGTTCTTGTTCTCTTAAGCCTACTTTACTTCAATAGCTTTGAAAATCAATCCATTCTCACAGTGACCCACAGAAAGGGCGATTAAACAAAACCTTTTACCAGCTTCTCTGCTACTCTTAGGATAAAGTAACCCCTCTCAGCCCAAAGGCATAAAAGGCACTTTGAGATCGGGTCCTTGCTTACCTTTCTGGTCTTACTTCTTGCCCCTTTACTGTATTATTCATTATTACACTGATATCTTAAAGTTCTTCAAAATACTGGGCTGTCTTGCTTCCTAGTCTTTGTGAAGCTATTTCCTCTACTACTATGCAATTCCTTCCCCCAGCTAACTGCCACTAGTGATGTAACTTTTGGCTTAAACATCACCTCCTTTAGGAAATCTTCCTGCATTCCTGGTGAATTAGGTATCCCTTCTGTGCTGTCCTAGTAGTATACTTGTCATACTGATTGTGCAATCTACCTATCTGCCTTCTCTCACCTGGAGTATTTTTTTATTATTTATTATTTTCCCCCATTAAGTTTATTGGTACATTTTAGGTATAAAATACAGTTACATACGTCATTGGGATCTTGTACTATTACATGAGTATCTTGGCCCTTATTTTTTTCCCCTTCCCCTGCCCTCCCTTTACCGCCTCCACCCTTCCCCATTTGCAAAGACTTTGTTTCCATTTTTTTCCTTTTCTCATATTTTTTCTTTTCCCTTCTTTCCTTTCCCCTACCTCTCCCACTTCACTTGGAGTATTGATTACATGTCAAACACCACAGCAAGCATTAGACATGGATTCTCTCATTTAATATTTACAGTAACTCTGAGATAGGTACTATTATGACTTCATTCTAAAAAAGGGGAAACTGTGCTTCAGATCCCTACAACAAACTTCTGTAAGAAAGTGGAGGAAGAAAAAAAAAAAGAAAGTGGAGGAGCAGGAACTTGAAGACAAATTTCTCTGGCCTCAGAGACCAAGATATTAACACTGAAAAACATCAAGCTGGTTCAAGCACAGGACCAAAAGGTGCTTGAGTTTTATGATTCCAACAGCCAGTCCACGCTTGAATACCCTGGGCTGGAGGCAGTGGAAAATTACAGGAATTGTGACTCCTAGCAATTGGCTGGAATCCTCCAGGGCTATATAGTGAGTGGAGGGAAGGCAGCACTGTCTGAGCCTTTGGATGACTTAAAACAACCAGTTTCCTTTCTTAGAACACCTGAGACAAGGAAGCAGACAACAATAACATGGCAAAAAAAAAAAGCACCATTTCCTATCCTATTCCATATACTTTTCAATATTTTACTCCAAGCATAAGCCCAGGCAGCACGGCATAGTAATGGTAAAGGCAACAGCAAAAGCTGCCACCTCATGTACTAGCAATGCACCAAGCTCCCTGTAAACTTTGTTGCATTTCATCCCTTTTTACAGGTTATTATTTCTCCTACAGCTGAGGAAATTTAGGCTCGGAGCCTTTAGATGGTTTGTCCAAGGGTATATAACTGGTAAGTGGTAGAGTTAGGATTCTAGCCCAGTTCTGTCTAGCCTGTCATTGCTTCTAGGATGCATACAAACTATTCCCAAAACTCATTAAGAAACAGATTTCTAGAGGCCAGGGATTTAGCTCAGTGGTGCTACTGCCTGCCTCAAAAGCACAAGGTTCTGAGTTCGATCCCAAAATTATGGGTTTTTGTTACTGTTCTGTTTTTGTTTATTGTTGTTTTGTGGTACTGAGGATCGTTTTGTTTTTGTTTTTTTGAGACAGAGTCTCACTATGTAATTCAGGCTGGCCTTGAACTCACTATGCAGCCCAGGGTGGCTTCAAACTAGTGGCAATCCTTCTGCCTTGGCCTCCCAAGTGAAGGAATAACAAGTGTGTGCCACCACACCTGGCTTGCAGTACTGAGGATTGAAACCAGGGCCTTTGCACTGAGCTACATATCCAGTCCTTTTTAAATTGTTTCTTTTAAGACAGGGTTTCGCTAAGTCACTAAATTGCTTAAACTGGGCTCAATTTTGTGATCCTTCTGCCTCAGTTTCCCAGAGTTCTGGGATTACAGATGTACTACCCCACCCAACTAGAGTATGGTCTTTAACAGCTCTCAGGTGACTCAGATATAAACCAGTCACTGAGAAACAATGCACTATGGCAATGTATTCCCAAATTATGCTCCTCAGGAATACTACAGTGTCATAAAAATGACTAGACAAAAGGGGGGGCGGTAATTCTATGGTTAAATACATTTAGCAAATTAAGAATTCTGAAATTCCCTATTATGAACAAATTTATTCAGCTGTATTTAACAAACTTCCCAAGATTGTAAGACCTTAGAATCCTCCTCTATTTATAATACCTATTGCCAGGCATGGTGGCACACACCTGTAATCCTAGCATTCTGGGAGGCTGAGGCAATAGGATTGCAAGCTATAGTCCAGCCTGGGCACCTAAGTGGCTTAGAAAGATCCTGTCTCAAAATAAAAAAGGAGTGCAGATGTGGCTCCATACAAAGGGCCTGGAGTCAATACTCAGTACTGCAAAAATAAAGCAAAACACAAAATACCTATTAACATCTCAAAAGACTCAGAAAATGGAATGTAGTTTGGGAAACACTAGTGCCTTACACTTCCTCCTAACCCTAGGCAACACTGGACTCTCTTCTTACCTCTGCTAAGTATGCAAAAAAAAAAAGACTTCTAAATTCTTGCCCTGGCCTCACTTTCACTTGCTATGTGTGACCTTTAGGCCGTGTAACCTCTCTGGGCTTGTTCCTCAGCTGGAGATTAGCGGTAAGAATCCCTGCATACCTAAGGACCTTCACGATTGGTGTAATGGAGATCCAATTGCTGGGTAAACTGTGCAGAGCTGCAATTCCTGCAAGGACCCTTAAGACATCTTTTTGCCATGTGGCTATGGTTAGTTGTGTGCTAAGATCCCATTTGATCTTGTTTACCAGTTTTTCTTGCATGAGTTTTCTTTTCTAAATTACGATGTGATTTCAGGCAACTCAGGATCCCTTTCTGAATTATGTCCTCCTCTAAAATGGAGACTGTTTTGAGGGCCTCCCAGGACTGACCTTCTAGGACTCTAGTAAAACTCAAAATACTAAATGGCAACACATGTTACATCTTACTCTGTACCAAGTGCTTTACAAGCATCATCTCATTAATTTTCCTAACAGCTCCATGTAGGCTTTATTTCACCATATTTTAGAGGAAGAAACTTTGGCTTAGAAAGGCAAAATATTAGCCGGGCATGGTGATGTACACTTGTAATCCCAGCACTCTAGGAGGCTAAGGCAGGAGGATCACAAGTGCCAGCCCAGGCTCAGCAACTTAGTGAGGAACCCCCCCCCCTCTCAAAATTTAAAAAAGAAAATTATTTTTAAGA